TTGTTGAGAGTCCCATTTCCTGAGAGAATGAGCAGGTCAGATACCCAGCCTCCCCCAACCCAACCCAAAGAGCCCAAGATTATTCCCTATAACCACCCCTCCCCTCACAACTGACTCACTGGGCCGAGTGCGGGTGGTCCCTTTCCAGAATGTGTCCTTGTATGGTATACGGTTGAGATTCTGGCCCATCTTCTCTGCCCGCTCTGAGGAAGAAAGACAAACAATTTTGGTCTCAGCTGTGGTACAGGAGGAGACAGGCAGGGACAAAACAAGAGAATGCAGCTGAGAGGCAGAGGACAGACCTCGGAGCAGCTCTCTCAGAGGTGCTTTGGCTTTGTCCACAGGCATTTCTCCGTACTTATTGCAGATGCTGACAAGGGCCCCATTAGCCACCAGGTCCTGGAATAAAAAGGTGGTTGTGATGAGGGCCCCACTACCTCTCTGAGTCAACCAACCATGAACGCAGATGCAATACAATCCCTGTGTCATATACTTGGTACTGCTCACAGGATAGGTTCAAGATCCCAGACTTGACTTTACTGAGGCTCAGACTTTACTTCCCACCCACCCCAGGGCTTAGGGCCTAAGTACTTACCTCTGCCACCTGATCTTGACCCCAAAAACAGGCATAGTGCAGGGGCACATTCCCATGTTCATTCACTGCATTGATGTCAGCTTTGTACTGCAGCAACTGATCCCCACAGCCAGATAGAAGACAGAAGGCATAGTCAATCCCAAAGGAGAGATGGGTGTTGAGGCATATGAGTGAAAAGAGTACACATGCTTTCCCCAGTATGTTACAGTGCCTTTGACATCTAGGCATGTACATGAATGTAGGGGATGAAAGGGATCATACATACCTTCTGTACAATATCACGGTGTCCATGGCTGGCTGCCAGGTGCAGGGGAGTATCATCCCCACGGTTCATCACATTGATTCGTGCCCCCCGCATGATCAGCATCTCAACTATAGCAGATCGGCCCTCTCGGCAGGCCCAGTGCAAGGGGGAGAAGCCATGATCGTCCCTTTGAAGGAAGGGGCAATGGTCATTTATCTGGAGGTGGAATGGGAGCAAGTGCCTTAGTACAGGAAAAACTGATTGTCCCTCTGCTTACTCACCCGGGGAAACCTTACCTCTCCAGGACTTTAATTCTCATTCTTGCCAGCAACTCCCAAAGCTGTCCTATTCAGACCTTCCCCAAGCTTCAGTTCCAGCCCCCAACAAGTCCATGATTCTTGGCTTTCAACACCATCTACCACCAGCCTTTCTTCCCTGACATGCCCTATCTCATTAACTGGTAGCAATCTTCATCTGGTGTCCTCTGCATCCCTTTTGCAACACGTGTTGGTCTTTTCTGTTTTCTACTGCATCTTGTACATCCCCCTACTATAGTACTTATAACACGGGACTGTAAAACTTCATTAATAGGCTGTCTTGTCAGACGGTAGGATGGACTGACCGCAGGTGTTTGGTGCATGTTGAGGGGTGTGGTCCTGGAGAAAGGAAGGCCACAACTGGGGGGGGGGGGGGGGGGCAGGGGGCAGCAAACTTACTGATTGGCTCTGGTACTGCAACTAAAATCTAAAAATGTAATGGAATTAAAATGACATTTTGGAAGGGATTGTAATGAAAAACAAATGCTTTTGATAAGTCATTGCTGATGAGGCAGATATCAAACCACACATGAAACAGGATTCTTCTACGAAATCCAGGGCACAGAAAATGAGAAAATAAGAATGGCTTCTGTAGAAATGAAACTGTACCTGACTTTTTTTTTTTTTTTTTGCCCCCAAGGACGTGTATTTTCTAAAGTAAAGGAAGTGTACAAAAAAGCCCCAAACAACTGGGTGGGAGCTGGGCCTGCCTGACAGCCTGGGGCCATAAAAGGAAATTCCCTCCAGTCTGGGAGGCAGATCCAAGGGGCGGAGCAAGGGGCGGTCTGTGGTTTGGGCAGGCTGCCACCGGATGCCTCAGTGCTGTGGTCACTTCCCGTGTGGGAGTTTGAGATGGGGCCTGGAGCTGATCAAGGGTCTGGCCACTGCTGGCCACCCAGATGCCCCAACAGCTAGTGAGGGTGGGAGGTGTGGCCCTTAAATGATTTCCTTCCATGGCCGCCTTCAATTGCTCACAGAGATAGCCAAACGCTTTCCTGGGATGTAGGGATCCTTCCCCTCCCCAAAGCGATTACCACCCCCTGCTTATCAGTCAGTTTAACCTCCCAGCTCTTTAATTTGTGCCTTGGCTGAACAGTCTCCCCAGCAGCCTATGGCTCCAGAGCAGGCCAGAAAGCCCAACGGCAAAAAGTATGGGTAGGATTCTGCCCACTGTCACCTGCCTGTCATCTCGGGGGCCTAGACTTTAATCCCAAAGAGGCCGGCAGGGAATTCATCCCACCTCACATCCATCATACGGCCAGTCTGGTCCCCCCTAAACCTATCCCCCCCTCAAACCAACAAAGCCCTTTAGTTTCACTAGTGCCACCCCTTCACCTTTTGGCAGCAGAGTCTAGATATGACATGCACTGGACAACTTCACCTATGCCTTTATAACACCACCAACAAAAGAGTAATGGTGTCCACTACTAAAGCACCTTTTAAGGAGTTATATGTATAATGGAACAAGTGACTGTGAATTATGGAGGACTATAGAACCTAATGGGAACCATTGGGCCTAACAGGAGCCTGGATGAAGATGACAGGTCATTCTTACCTCTCAAACCTAAAACTAAACTCTGCCAACCTTAAAAAATAAAAATTTTAAATAAAAAAAAATAAAATTCATCATCCTGAGTCAACTTCACTGCTGCTTTGCTTGCCTTCCGGACTCAGCCAACCTCGTTTAACCTGGCACAAGGCCCCTGCCTTGAGGTCAGACATTAAGTCTGATTCCCCACCTCTAGCTCCCAGCCTTCATTTTAGTAGAGTTCCTTAAATGAAAGAACCTAATGTACTCTGGATTCTTTGCCTCTTTTCTTCTCACAGAGATTATCAAATATTTCATTAACTAATTGTAAATTAAATGTTTACCTTAAAGTGTTTTAGCTCTTTGATCTCTTGGGAGCCTGTACTACTGTTGACCACACCCCCTTCATTGAAACATTCACTTCTCTAAGCTTTACCAACATCCCCCTGTTTCTCCTTCAACCTCCAGTTGTTCCATTTAAGTCTTACAGGTTTCTCCTCTCCTCTCCTTCACACCCCTATTTTCAGGTGTCATCTATATGCTACTATCTCCAAAATCTTTGTCTCCACATCAGACCTCCCTCCTGAAATCTAAATCTGCATGACCAACAATCTACTAAACATTTCTACTTCACTGTCCTGTCACTTTAACATGTATAGAGTTGAGCTCACCATCCTTCAGTCTTGCCCATCTCAATAAAAGGAACCACCATCTACCCAAGTACCCAAGCCAAAACCCTGGTCATTGTCTTTGACCTTCCTCATTTCCCACACCAAGTCTCACCGATTCTTTATTTTTTTATAATTACAGTTTCCAATGATAGTTCAATATTATTTTGTATTAGTTTCAGCTGTACAGCATAGTGTTTGGACAATCATATATTTTACAAAGTGTTTCCCCTGACATTTTCACTAATCCTTTATCGTAAGGATTTCAGGAATCTGATCTTTCTTTTTCACCCACACACATTGTAGTCCAAGCCACCACCACTTCTGGGATGAACTAGGCAATTGCCTCTTTTCACATTGTGCTTCAAAAGGCATCCAAGAGGACACTTGCCAAGTGGGCAATCTCATGTCACTACATGGCTTTAAATCCTGCTTCTTAGAATAAAAACTTTAATATAGCCTAAATACCCTTGCATGATATGGCTGACCCGTGCAGACTTTTCCAGTCTCCTGTCATTCTCCACACCGAATGCTTCAGGCCACAGAAGCCCAAAGAGGATTTCTTTCCTCCAGCCATATGAAACTCTGGACAATTTCCAAGCACTCTGCTCTGTCTTGCCTCCTCGCCCATGCAGTTCACTGAGGCCGGAAAGCTCTCTGCAGCCTCTGCCAATAACACTCTTATTTAGCAGTCAAGATTCAGCTCAAACAAGCTTCCTCTGTGGTGACCCTGTGCTGCTACCACCACCACCACGACCACCACCACCACCACAGGCTGTGCTGGGCACTCATCACACTGGATAGGAAAGTCAGCCACTCCACTAGACGTGAGCACCTCATATCACCGAGGTGATGTCTTTGCTCTTCCTCTCACCCACCCCCCACCTCAGCTCACCCCTGATTGAGGTCATTCTCCGTGTTGTCCAGCCACAGTCGAACGGCAACGGCGTTGCCCTCCCGGCACTGAGTGAAAATGTCGTCCATCGCGGCGTCCCTGCCCTGAGTCCCCTGGATTGGGGAAGCCTGGGGACTGTGAAGAGATCCAGAGAACGGGAGTGAGCCCCAAACTTTGTCCCTTGACGTAGAGAAGTGTCTGTGTTGGGATGGGGGTCTGGGAGCTGCGCCCCCAGTTAGTGGAGGTCTGGGAAGGAGTTCAGGGCAACGGGATGATCCCAAACTGTGTGAGCGAAAGACAAGTCCAGGCGAGGTAGGGGTTGATTAGGAGGTAGTATCCGGTGAAGGGATGTCAGCGAGCAAGCCCTGGAACCTAAATCCTCTAGGAGAGCTGGGGGAGGGAGGAAGTTCAGGCTCCCTATTCTCCGGGGAAGGAGATCTGTGGTCTTTCCCGGGGGTGGCCCCCGTTCCCATCTCGAAACTTAGGCTGAGTTAGGGGTGACGGGCCAGCAGGACTCGCGACTTGGGGGAGGGGGCACAGGTTTCCACGCACTCACCGGGACTCGGGACGTGGGTGCCTTCTCCGGGGAACTCCCGTCCAGCCGCGCCCGCCTCTCGGCCCCACCCCTGGCCCTCAGGGGCCGCGCGAGCCTCTTTTCCTCCCTCTTCCTTGCCTTTCTAGCCCACCCAATGTGTAAACTCGATGGTTTTCGGCGCTGCGCGGGCCGCTCTATCCGCTCTGGCTTCCGGTTCTGTTCCGGCGGCTCTTAGTGCTCGGATTTCTGGAGACGCCCTCTGCACGTGGAGAGGCGCGGGGACTCCGCGACCTCACCCTGCAGCGTCCGCATGTTTGAGGAGCCGGAGTGGGCCGAGGAGGCCCCAATAGCTGCGTGCCTCCGGCCTGTAGCGTCACGGCCTCGGCCAGCGGCAGCCTCGCAAATCAGGGTGAGTGGCCCCCGCCTGGCACTGGGAGCTTTTTCAGGCCATGGAGCGGGTCCTGGTGGATCACAGTGTTGGACGGGGCCGCGCGTGCACTTCTCGTGAGTGTGTGTGTGTGTGTGTACGCGCGCGTTGCGGCTGACTGAGAACGAAAATCTAAGAACTTTCGAAAGAAAATGGCATTGGAACTGAGAATTGGTAAGTAGAAGTTAGTAGGGGAAGAGGGTCTCTTGTTGGACAAGATAAGCACGTGGATAAACGTCCTGGGTCGAAAGAGCACGGATGTCCTGATAGGGTTACACACAAGATAACGCTTGTCATTGGAGCATAGAGAATGAAAGGGGATGCCGTCGAAGTTGGAGAGGTAAACTAGTGGTTTTACATATTTTAAGGAAAGACAGAAGCCAATGAAGTGTTTTTAGCAGGGGAAGGATTCTTTCAGAATTGCAGTGTGGAGGTGAGATTTCAGAGAGCTAAAGGGAGTGATAATAAAGGGGGTAAGTACTACCATCTCAAAAGGTGGTGTGTAGAGAGTACGAAGAACCTCTCAGTTAAATATGTACTCTAGGACCGCTCAGTACCACTTCAACCCAGAAGGCCTCCTTTAAGCCTTTGCTGATGTGAAGGCTGCTGTAGTTCCTCAGACTCTTCCCATCGTCTGTGAGCTTCCAACATGGAATGTGTTTGCTTTATGCCTCCTTTCCATTCCCTTAACCCATTGCTATAATCCAGGCCACTGGCACCTTTGTCTGCAGCTTGTCCACTTCAGTTTGTTCTCTACACTACAGCTTGAGTCATTTGAAATGCACACGTGTCATCCTGTCATTCTTGATTTCAGAAACTGCCCTACTTTTTATCAGCTGGAGGCAAAAGCCAGTTATTAAAGGTTGGAACTCCTGGTCTCAGACCTTGGTCCTGTTGCGCATGGTCTTACTACATTCTTCTGGGGAGCCCCAGCACCTCCTCTGAACATTGAAGAGAGCGGGGTGGGTGGCTGGTTGCTTTGCCTTCCAGCCCCCCAAAGGTTGGGATGATGACTGGGAAGTTGTTTGGTGCCTGGCATGCTTCACGACAAGCTAATTAACTGGGAATAGTATGGATGCCTCTGCCAGCATCTGAATCAGGTCCCCATCTCTCCCTTCTTAGTCAGTGGGTCCCATCCATTCTTCTCGCCCATGCTTTCATCCCTCGTTTCTCCCCCAGGGCTCCAAGCGCCGCCAGCTCTTGGCCACACTGCGGGCCCTGGAGGCAGCATCTCTTTCCCAGCAACCTGCCAGCCTGCCTGGCAGTGACTCTGAGGAGGAGGTAGTGGAAAGGAAGAAAAAACGCCCCAAAAAGGCTTCATTTAGTGTTTTTACTGAAGTAGAGGAGAAAAGGAAGAAGCAGCATCAAAAACAGCGACTACCTGGCAGTGACTCTGAGGAAAAGGAAGTAGAAAAAAAGAAGTGTCATAAAGGGGCTGTTCATGGCAGTGACTCTGCTGCAGAAGAGAGAAGAAAGGGGAGATGCCAGAAACAGGCCCCTTCAAACCCAGCTCAGCACCTGGACAGTGTTGACCAAACAGGTATTAGTGGATGTGTGTAGTAAATATGTGGGACAGAGAGGGGGGTCATGTGTTCTTACATATGACAGAGGTTACTTGCTGCCATTAGGTTTGGGGTTATGCAATTAGAAGTACTTTCATCCAGGCCACAGTCTCTATTTTGTCCAGGATGAATTTACCAAGACTCTGAATTGAGTGGATCTTGCCCCAGATATGCCTTCCCATCTCCCTCCCTACAGGTCTCAAAGCTTGGAAGAGTAATGCTACAGATCACCCACCCAAGCCGAGCTCTGGGACCACTTCTCCCCAGCCCCCCCATACCTTGAGTCGCAAGCAGTGGCGGAACCGACAGAAGAACAAGCGTAGACACAAGAACAAATTTCGGCCACTTCAGCCAGCAGACTTGGCTCTAGCCACAGCCCCCACAGAGGAGACAGAGGTGCCTCCTGCTCCCATTCAAGACAGCCAAGAGACTCGGGCAGGAGCTTTGCGAGCCCGCATGGCAGAGCGGCTGGATGGTGCTCGATTTCGCTACCTCAATGAACAGCTGTACTCAGGGCCCAGCAGTGCTGCACAACGCCTCTTCCAGGAAGACCCTGAGGCCTTTCTCCTTTACCACCGTGGCTTCCAGAGCCAGGTCAAGAAGTGGCCACTACAGCCAGTGGACCGCATCGCCAGGGATCTTCGCCATCGGTGAATGGGGGTTGGGCACTGTACAAAGCAATGTTGGACAGTCAAGGACTCAGACTAGAGCAGTGAGTGATCTCTCCCCTCCACTCCCAGGCCTGCATCCCTGGTGGTAGCTGACTTTGGCTGTGGGGACTGTCGCCTGGCTTCAAGTATCCGGAACCCTGTGCACTGCTTTGACTTGGCTTCTCTGGACCCCAGGGTCACGGTGTGTGACATGGCCCAGGTAAACCCCTTTATCTCTATGTATCTGGCCTGTGCTATAGGCCCAGCCTGCATATGCTAATCTCTTAACACTCTGCCTTTCCTTCCCTCACACCCTCATCTTGCTGTTTCTCCTTCCCGTATTGTGTGCCTCATACAACCTCTACGCTCAGGTGCCTCTGGAGGATGAGTCTGTAGATGTGGCTGTATTCTGCCTTTCATTGATGGGAACCAACATCAGGGACTTCCTAGAGGAGGCAAATCGAGTGCTGAAGACAGGGTAAGAGCCTGCAGGACACAGATACATGTATATGTGCCCATACGTGTCTGTACTTACACAGAACTTCCCACTTTTCTCAGTGGTCTCCTAAAAGTGGCTGAAGTTAGCAGCCGCTTTGAAGATGTCCGGACCTTTCTGGGAGCTGTGACCAAACTGGGCTTCAAGGTCATCTCCAAGGTGAGGGCCCCACAAAGTTTTGTCCCTATTTTTGTCTCATGTGTGGCCCTTTCCAGGATAATGGTGATCAGGAAGGAGGCCTTAGGCACAAACATTTGTTTCTTGAAGGCGCAACTCATGGGAAAGCCCTGGGAAGCTTTCTGAGCACGGGTGGGACATAGATTGAAGTGTTTTGAAGAGTGGGTTGAAGATGTGAGGCTCACTGGGTCTTTTCTGCCCTAGGACCTGACCAACAGCCACTTCTTCTTGTTTGATTTTGAAAAGACTGGGCCCCCTCTGGTGGGGCCCAAGGCTCAACTCTCAGGTCTGAGGCTTCAGCCGTGTCTCTATAAGCGCAGGTGATCTCTGGACAACTTGAAAGGGGAGTCAAGTCTTGAACTCCAGTTCAAAACTCTGAAGATCGTAACCAGCCAGGCTGTGCCCCAGGACCTGATGCCACCCTTCCTCCGTCCCAAGAACAAAGTGTGATGAAACCCCTGGCTCAGCCCTTCTCTAGTGAAGGATTCTTGGTTGCGAGAAGCATAAAATCACTCAGACTGGCTAAAGATAATAAGGAGTTCCTTGTGAGAACACAGGGCTATCTGGGAATTATGGATCCCCTAGGTATGGAAACCAGATGGTTTGGAATTCAAGGCATCTCTGGGTTTGATTCCTTTTTCCCATCTCTCAGGAGCGACGTGTGCTTTCTCTCCTGGCATCTCCATTCTCTTCTCTTCTGACCTGTTTGCAGACCAGCTCCCTCTGCTTACTCATATGTATACTCCTTCAGCTTTGGTCTGCTCAGGTTGTCGAGGCCTCAGACAGGCAGGCATTGCTTCCTGGGTCTGGGACAACTGGTGACCCACTAACATGCTGGCTCAACGCACCAGTCACGGCTTCTGGGTCAGGACTGTGTTTGTCTCTGTATTAAGCACTTCTTTCCCCTCTGTCCTCATCACCATCTTTGGAGTCACATGGTCCAGACAACTCCCAGCAGTTATTGTTCTGTGTAGTGTTGATCTGTGTCTGGCTGAGAGCACAGATTTTAGAATCAGGTGGGTTTGAGTTCAAATCCTGGCCCTGCCACTTAATGCTGAGAATCATTTAATCTTTGAATGTCACATTCTTCATTTGGAAAATGGTAGGATTTCTGTCTTGTGGGATTGTTATGTGGGCCAGCTGAGGAAATTGATAGCCAGGGCCAGGTACTGAGGAGGTGCTCAATAGACTGTTGCTGTGGCTGTTATGTCTTGTAAGTTTTATTCTCTAAGGACCTTCTCAAGGCTGTGTTGGAGGTTGAAGGATAAAGAATAGATTTGTTGACTGAGGAAGACTCAGCTTAATATAGGCCTTTGATCAGGTTTATTTAATAGGAGATTTAGAGATTCTTGGTAGAGTCTGAACTGTCTTTGGATGGGGTTGGTGAGGGAATTGGGTCTATTCATAAATAACCATCAGTTAATGCTTGGGCTGGTTATTGGCAAAAGGGTCTGTCATTTCTGCCTAGCAGTGGGCCCAGATCAGCATGTTTTAGGAAAGCTGTACGAAAGGAAGGCTAGCTCTGGGAGAAGATGAACTGGGTTGATAGATCTTTGGCTGTTCTAAACAGAATCTACCATGATTCCAGGCAAAAAGATACAACCTTTTCTACCTATTTCCAAGAAAAGAACTCAGCACGACCACTGCGACACAGGTTTCAAGGTTCTGAGCTGGTTGGATGCCTCCGGAAGGGGATGGAGGTTCTGAGGCAGGCTGTTAGCCAGAGGGCATGTGTACTCTTCTCTCTGCTGAATACTCAACTGACTGGCAGCCTTACTTATGATTCCAAACAGACTAGTTGTTTCCTATTCCATCAGGCCCAAAGCAGAATGACTATCGTCATCTGCACTCTCAAAGCACTCCCTAAAGTGTGCAACTTCAGCATTTAAATGCTGCATTGTGATTGTTGTGTGCATTAAGGTGCAGTCTTAAGTCGTTTTGATCTTTGTAGTCCCAGAGCTTATTACTTGAGTTTACCTAAGCAGATGATAAGGAATGACAGTCCAATGGAGTGGGATTGATGGGAGCAGGAGTGTTGTAAGAACCCCAGTTTGGAACACATGAGAAAGCCACTATGGACTCATGACAATGAAAGAAGTAGGCATATGGGAGAATCAGTAGGTAGGACTGGTAGATGTTGAGGACTGGTGAGAGAAAGGAATCTGAAGTGAGTCCGGTTTCTGGCTTGAGCAACTGGGTGAACAGATTTTTTAATATGGAAGGAATGGGAGGATTGTCAGCTGTCAGATGTTGTTGGGAAATCTGATTGTGGAGGGGTAAAGATTGCTGAATAATCTTGATGGCCTTTTTGAATATATATTGGTATTATTCATGAGTTTATAGGTATACCAATCAGCCTAGTGGTATGGCTGTCTGCCTACTCAGGGATCTGTGTGTAGCTTGAGAAACTGAGCACTAAGGAATCATCCCAAGTTGAAAACTTGACTTGCAAAAGAAATGAAAGCAAACAAAAGAGTTTCAAACCATTTATAACTATGTGAGGTGGTTATACTGGTAGTAATTGAACAATTGACCTGGGAAGATGGGAGCTGTGGTCAGAAATTGGAATACTTGGATTACAAATATTGGAAGCAAAGTAGCTGCAGGTGATTGGCAAAGTCTAGAGTACAGCTACAGGGGTGAATGCCTAAGAGGCATTCAAGGGAGGTTGCCTAGAGACTGGTTAATGGACTGAGAGCTCAGGTGTTTTGTGGGGTATGGGCTGTTGTTTTCATGGACTTTCCAGTTGTCCAGGATGGTGGTAGAAATTGGCATGGAGCAGGTGCCAACCTCTTGAGGGAGAGCACAAATCCAGGAGATTTGCAGACAGAGAAGGAGAGACTGGTGGCATGAATTTCAAAAGTGCTAAGAGTTCACACAGTCTACTAAAGACTCCCATTTGGTGGATAATGTGAGGCTGGTGAGCGAAGCTAGCTGCCAGGCAGCTAAGATAAAATACCCTGACAGTCCTCTCCAGCTTGTCAGGACTCACTGGGGATCACTGGGGAGAGACTACTAAGGCTGCTCTGTGGGGGCAGGAACCTCTTGCAATAAATGGGGAGGCAAGCCGTAATGCCCAGAGAATGTTGGAGTAGCAGAGCATCTCACTGTCGGACACATCACCTTTTACAGTTCCATATCTGTGTTCTTTCCTAAATGTTATTTATAGTCCTAGATCTTAACTAATTTTCTGGGGTTTTGTGGGTTTTTTTAAACATTCTCAGCAGAATAGCTGGCATCTGTCCTCTTCCTTTTGTCCCCCCATCCCCACCCCTTATAGTTTGGATTCTTCCTTGGCCTATTCTAGCACCAGCCACATGCATAAATATCTCTCTGAGTCTGTCTCAGGCCCCAGGCTCACTCTAACTCAGCCAGGCACCCGCTGGTGGCTCCATCAGTCACCCAGGTCCTGAGAGCAGCACTCTGCTGAGCTGGATCTGGGTCCTCCCTGTCCCGTCATCAGCTTCAGGACAAGCTTTTTTTCAAGTCCCTGCTTGGACTTCAAGTGTCTAATGCTGAGAGTCTAGACTGTAGAAAGAACAGTATATATTTCTTTGAGAAATAACAGCATGCAAACTATTTAAAGAACAATAAGGCCAGTTTAAGGAACAAGTTGAAAACAGATTGAAGGAGTGGCAAGAATAATAAGATGCGGCCATTTGGGAAAGGCTGCTCCACTGTGAAAGGCAGTGGTTCTCAACGTTTGCAATAGAATTATCTGGAAGGCTTGTTATAATGCAGATTGCTAAGCCCGCCTCCAGTTTCTGATTCAGAAGATCAGGATAGGGTTTGAAAAGTTTTTTTCTGGTTGCTTTGATTTTCTCAATAAAGCAGGAAGTAGATTTTGAGTTGAGAGTGAGAACGAGGGAAAGGAGTTGGAGTTTGAAGGAGAGGAGAACATGAGTATTGTTTCTAAGAGTGAGAATGAGTGAATTAGGAAAGTACAGTAAATATGATTGCTAGTAATAGTAATAGCACACTTAAGGTTTAATGTCAGAGGCTCGGATTGGAGACTGGTATAAGATTGCTTTCTGGAGAGCTTGGTACTGTGAGACAGAGGACAGCTGGACTGTCAGAACCTACTCACTTCTTGAGGGGTGGACTGGTTTCTGACTTTTTACCTTAAGTCTAACTGGGGACTCCACTGGGACCTTTTGGACACTGGAAGTATTGAATTCCATAGCCAAGGAATGATAAGCCTGGAGTCTGACTCCTGCTCTGGAAATGTAGAACGCAAGCAGAAGTTCACCGACTGTTTTGATGGTGGAGCCAGATAAATGCTGCTGCTTATGCATTGGCCTGCATTTCCAGAATTTGCCATGGCACCTGATGTATGAGTATATTCTACATGCCTTGCCAGGAGAGAAAGAAGCATGGGTGGTCTTAGGTCCTGTCCAGTGGAACCATTTGAAGAGGCAAGGAGACCTCAACACAAAGAAACTAGGAGTGTGCCATGGGGACTGAAGAGGAAGTTGCGCTAGACTCCCAGATTTTAACAGGGGTGTCCAACCTTTTGGCGTCTCTGCGTCACACTGGAAGAAGTGCTGACTTGGGCCACACATGAAAAACATTGCGACACGTAATCACAAAAAAATCTCATAATGTTTTAAGTAAATTTATGATTTTGTATTGGGCTGCGTTCACTGCCATCCTGGGCTGCATGTGGTCTGTGGGCCACAGGTTGGGCACCCCGATTAGTTTCATCCGTCAAGGTCAGGGGGACAACAGGAATGCCCACTTTAAAGATCTGCCTGGCCCATAAGGTTCAGAACCACCCAGTTAAGCAAGAACTGTTTTATTCCCTGATTTCTCTGCACTTTGGGCCAGAGCAGCCAGCAACTATTAGTTGGAGGGGAGGGGAGAAGAGCAGAGAGCATACAGATTATTCCTCCCTTCCTCACTGCAGGCTCTTGGAGGGAGTAGAGCAGAGCTGGGAAGGAAAAACGGTAAAAGCTACAACAGGTGCAGATTATTGTTACATAGGATTAAACATTCTAATCACTTGAGATTGTATCTTAAAATGAGCATGAGACTATGAACTAAGAATGAGCTGAAAAGTCACAGGCTTGTTGCAGCTTTTTTCCATAGCAGGGGAAGAGTACCCCGAAATTAAAAAAGTTTGGAGTGGTGGTGAGAGACAAGAATGAAGTTGGATTTGGATAGCAATCTGTGCCTCATGCTTCTTAGCATACCCTTTAGAGACTTACTGTTTCTGCTGTTACTAGTGAGCTCCAGCTTTTGTTCCTGTAACACAGTCCTAAAGGAATACAAGTCCAAAAGAAAGAACACGATCTTGGCAGAGACACAGCTCAGCTCCAAACACTCAACCATTTCTGTAGTTGCACAAAGCCCTTTATAACTTTTTAGAGACCTGTAATTAGAGCTTTTAATCCCCAGGTTGTCCTCCTTCCCAGGTGACTTAGACTGGTCACCTGGTTCTAGGATATTGGACAATTGCAATAACTGCCTTATTGGTCTAATCGCAACCACTCCTGCCCCACAAAGTAATTCTTTTTGCACACAGCCAAGTGATCTTTTTAAAATGTAAATCAGGTTTGTCACTTCTCTGCTTAAAATTCTTCAATGGATTCTCATTGCTCTGAAAACAAGAGACAACCTCTTTCCCAGGCCCTGTGTGATCTAGCCCAGGCCTCCCTCTCCAACTGCATCTTAACCCACTTCTTCCTCGGAAAACTCCAGCCACAGAGGGGTTTTTAAAATTTCTCCAGCTTTCTAAGCCATTTCTACTTAGGGATTTTATAATGCTGCTTCATTTTCCTCGAGTACTCTTTCCCTGATGACCTCATTTTCATCATCTAGATCTTCACGCCAACACCACCTTCTGTGGTAGAAACTGGCTAGGTGTTCACCAAGATGTCCTTTCCCAAAACAATTAAACCCCATTTCCCAATGCCTTACATCAAGGTGGGGCTATGTAAGTAGTCCTATCCATGGAAAGGGAGTGGAAGTGATGTTTCACTACCAGACCAAGGCCACTAAAGAACAGATGAACCTTCTCCTTATTCTCCCACCCCCCTCCTCCACCTCCTAGGATGACCCTGAAGTACATGTTTTGAAGGTGATGGAGTAAAAACAGAAGTCTGGATACCTGAGTCACTGCTTGGAAGGGAAGCTGCTTGACTAAAAACATCCACGTTGAAGTTTGAGCAAGGAATGAACCTCTATTGCAGTAAGCTAGTATGTTTGGGGAGATTCAGGGCAGTTAGCATTATATATCCTGGTTAATTAATATATCTCCTCTGGGCATCCTGTCCACCGTACCTTACTCTTGATCACAAAAGGCTTTTTGTTTCATTCTGGTGCTTCAAACATTTAATTATCTTACCAGGTGGTGGTCAACACCACCTGTCCCGTGAATTTTAATCTTAGTCGGGGGTGAGGAGTGGGGCAGGACGCTTATTACATCAGGAAGGTGAGATGCTTATTTTACCAGTTACACTTTGATTATGACAAGAAAAAAAATCCCACTAATGAATGAAAATACCTGATGGTAGGTGGCTGTGGGCATTGATTTGAGAAATCAAGGATTTCGCAGTTAGGTCTCTGTCATTCTCTTGGTCTCCTGATTCTCTTGTTCACAAGGTGGTGTGTTCTTGGCTAAGCGGGGACACCCAGTGTACTGTTTACTATATACCACCTGGGGGTCTCACTGGTGGCCACAGTCTTACGCTCTTCACGGGTCCTTCTACATTGTTAATACAGTGGTGTAAATATGTTTCATTATTCCCTATAACATAGCTGAGACCAATCTAAACTATCAGTATTTCAAATATATTTAATTTTCTCCCCCACCCCTCCTCATATCTTAGCAGCCTGTCAGTAACTCATTCAATTTGGTATATGTTTATATAGAACTACAAAAATCAACAGCAACAAAATAGAAGTCAATAGAAAAAATGGGCAGGAGGTTGGAACTGGCACCTTATAGAACAGGATTTTTAAATAGCCAGTGGAAACATGAAAAGGTCAGTCCCATTAGTAATCAGAGAAATGCAAAGTAACACCAAATGCCACATCATTACACATACACTGGAACTGGGGGGAAATGCCACCATATAGCAAAAATGTGGAATAAAGTGAATTCTCGTGTGGATTACATGAAAATTCTCATATCCCTGGTGAGGGAGTATAAACTGAAAATTTTGGAAACAGACTGGCATTATCAACTAAAGTTAAGGGCATACATACTTCGTAAGCAGACAGTTCTACTTACTAGTTGTATTTCCAACAGAAATGTGTGCAGCTGCACAAGAGGCATTTGCAAGATTGTTCACGGGCACCATTTGTAGGAACCACAGACTGATCACTAGGCAGTTCACAAGCTATTTGAACCCTCTCTCCTCCCCAAAACGCCCACTATAGCACCAGCAACAGATCTTCACAACATAAACTGGAAACTTATATCCATAATATTCAGGTTTCAACCAAAATTACCAAACAGGAAGTGATAATCCTGTAATTATAAAATTGTAAACAGTAATTTTTACTTAGAGTAAAAGAATAATAACTGCAGTGACCTCAGGTGTTGGATCTGGCTGTCAAATATTTTAAAGTAGCTGTTTTCTGATGTGTTCAAATAATGAGGAAAATGTAAGAAATTTTAAAAAAAATGGTTCAAGGGATATACAGAGGAGAAACTTTGCCAGGGACATAGAAGCTATAAAAAGGAATCATGAAAATTCTAAAACTAAAAAGAAATTCAATGTAAATTACTCAGCTTGAACAACAGAAAAAAGTCCGAGAGAAATGGACAGGGCCTCATGAACCTGTGGCACTACAAGACCTAATGTGTCATCAAAATCTTAGAAGATGAGAAAGAGGATGGACTGAGAAAGTACCTGGTGAAAAACTAGCTGAAACATTTCTAAACTGGGTAAGAGACAAAAACCTATGGACTCAAGAAGCAGAGTGAACAACCCCTAAACCAGATAATCATTAAAAGGTCCATATCAAAACATTAAACTTACAAAATTAAAGAGTGTATTGAAAGCTAAAGAAAACTGCTGTACCTAAATTGGGAAGAACAATTTGAAAGAGAGCAGAGTTCTTTTCATCAGAAACTATGGAAGCTATAGAAAAATGGCACATTATTTTTCAGATGTTTAAATAAAACAACCCAGAATCATACCCAGTGAAAATATCCTGAAGGAATGAAGGAGAAAATGTAGACATTCTCAGTTGAAGGAAAAGTAAAATTTGTCACCAGCTGACCTACCCTAAAAAAAGGAGGGGGCTAGAAGAGTTTGTCTAAACAAAGGAAATGATGAAATCTGAGAATATTGAGAAGTGTGAAAGACCACAGTAAAAGTATGTGCAAATACAACTAGCTTTCCTGAGTTGTGCTTGATGTTTGAAGCAAAAATCAACACTGTTGTGGTTTTAAATGTATGTAAAAGAACTAAGACAATTCCACTAAAAATGTAGAAGGATAAAGGGGATGTAAGTTTTCTTGACTTCACTTGAACTGGTGACATAACACCTGTAGACTATGTTAAGATTATATATGGACACATAGAGCAACCACTAAGAAGCTATACAAAGATATAAGCTCAAAAATACTATAGTTAACTCGAAATTATAAAAAGTATTCAGTTAATCCATAGGAAGGCAGAAAAGAGAAAATGACAAGAGGAAAAAAAAATAAGATGGCTGACTATTCCCTAACAACAATTACAATATATGTTAATGATCTGGATACATCAATTAACAGAATTGGGCAGCATAGTAAAAAGCAACCTAATTATTATCTACAGGAAATTCACTTAAAATATAATAGTATAGGCAAATTGGAAGTAAGGATGAAAAAGATACATAATGCAAACACTGCTCAAAGGAAAACAGGAGTGCGTAAGTCAGATAAAGTTGACTTCGGAGGAAAAGATTTTGTCAGAGAAGGACATTACATAATGATAAGCAGGTCAGTGCAGTATGAAGGAATAACAATGCTAGAGCAGGCTGCAAAACATGAAAACTGATATAACTAAAAGGAGAAATAGGCAAATCCACAATTGCAGTTGGAGACTTCAACACCCCTCTCATTAATTGGTAAAGCAACTAGACAGAAAATTGGCATTTATATATAGGAGAACTATTAGAAATAGTTCTAAAATTAAGAATTAGGGAAATCTTCAAACACTAAGAAGCTAAATAATATACTTCCAAATAATCCATGGGTCAAAGAATTTACACGGGAAATAATACATTGAATAATTAAAGTGAAAGCACAACATCAAATTTTGTGATACAGCGAAAGCAATGCTGACAGGTATATTTATTGCTCTAAATGCATACATTGAAAGAGATAGTCTCAAATCAATAAGGTTCTCACCTCAATCATCTAGAAAAATGTGGAGTAAGATGAATCCAAAGCAAGTAGGAAGAAGGCGATTAGTAAAGGTAGGAGCAGAAATCCATGAAATTGAAAACAAAAACAGTAGAACAAGCCAGTGAAACAACTGTTTCTTTGGCTTGATGAATAAAAGATGAATAAAATTACAAACCTCTTGAAGGACTAACAGAAAAGACAAATTATCAGTATCAGAAATGAAACAACCATCACTACAACCTGGGCAGACATAAATATATAAAGATAATACAAATACTGCAACAACTCTACACATATTTGACAACTTAGTTGGAACATTTCCTTAAAAATAAAACCACATGAAATGTTACAACTCATTTAATATGAAGTAAATAATTTAAATAGCCCTGTAACTATTAAGGAAATTAAATTCCAAGAAATTTTTTAAATTCCAAGAAAAAAAAAAAAAGCAAAATAGAGACAGACTCATAGATAGCAGACTTACAGCTGTCAGAAGAAGGGTGGGGGGACTGGGTGGGGAGTGTGGAGGGATGGAGCAAAAAAAAAAAATTACTTGAACAATAACATTTCAATAAAAATATGTCAAAAAAAGACTGAAGCAGAATGGGGACAGGGACCTGCTCCGCCTTGCTGCTGCAACTCCCCTGACTGGAACAGTATCTGGTATATAGCATATTTTTTGGCGTATAAGATGCACCCCCCCCAATTTGGGAGGAAAAGGGGGGGTTTATCTTATAGTTTGAATGTAGCTTACCTGGCTCACTGTGGGGGTTGGCAGTAGAGTGGGGAGTGGGGTCACAGGTTATTAAATACTGCATGTTTTGCTTCAAAAATTTTTTCCCTATTTTTCTCCTCTAGAACCTAGGTGCTTCTTATGGTCTGGTGTGTCTTATAGTCCTAAAAATATAGCAGTAAATGCTCAATAAATATTATCAAATTAAAAAAAAAAAGAACCTTAACCTAGTCTCACACCTTATACAAAAATTAACACAAAATGGATCATGAACTTTGATGCAAAATAATAAAACTATAAAACCTGTAGAAAAGAAACAAGAGAATATCTTTGGAATCTTGGGTTAGGCAAAGAGGGTTAAACTTGACATTGAAAACATAATCTGTAAAAGGAAATATGGATAAACTAGACTTCATCAAAATTTTTTAAAATGCTCTATGAAAGACCCTGTTAAGAGGAAGCTATAGACTGGGAGAAAATATTTGCCAACTACATAGCTGACAAAGGACTAGTATCTCAATAGTAAAAAACCTGATAACCTTATATCTACTAAAGAAATTGAGTTTGTAATGTAAAACCTCCTCCACAAAAACAAAAAACCCCAAGGCCCAGAGGGCCCTACTGGCAAATTCCACCAACCATTGATGGAGGAAAGAACATCAATCCTACACACTCTTCAAGGAAGTAGAAAAGGACTGAACACTTCCCAACTCATTTTGTTTGTGACTCTCTGAGACAGAAACCTGGGAGCAGAATTGCTAGAACATGCTGCATTTAATTAAATTCACTAAGTGCTGGCAGATTGCTCCCAGTACACGTGCCCATCAACAGTGCGTGAGGCTTCTTGTTTTCCACTATCTCCCCAACCTTGTATATGATAGAGATAACAATGCTGTGGAGAGAATGGCTATTGGAGAGAAATACCTGGTTTCAAAAACTGGCTCTACTATTTTCTGACTCTGACCTTGTATAATTTACCTAATCTGTATCTCAGGTTCCTCACTTGTACAATGGAAAAATATTAGTAGCTATCTTATAAACCTCAGGGCTTCCTAGGCATTAATGGGTGAAAATGGTACTGTGTTATACTTCAGACATTTCCCCTATTTATCCTATTTCTGAATGAGGATTTCAAATTAGAATAAAAAGCTACAGAAATAAGTGAGTTTCAGGTGAGCTACAGACCATTAGTATTTTTGGTTTTGGGATTATTGGTGCATGCAGTGTACAAAGTGGATCACAAATTTCCTTATAAATTAGGATATGCAAATAAAATTGAGCTCCTCTCAATTATTGATCTGATTTTCCTCACAAGTTCACTCCCATCCTGCACTCCATCAAATAGTGGAAGAGACTAGAAATAAATTTAATTCAGTCTTTTTAGGTTTCATTTGTCCTCTTTGAAATAAATGCTGAGAAGCTCTACTTTCTCCTATTCTACCTCTGCTTCTCTGCAAAGTGACATCTGGGTATAGAGGGAAGAGCATTCTGATATCAGAAAGAAGGGGCCCCCGGCCTAATACTGGCCCTTGGGCGTGACAAGCTGGAATCTTCTGGGTACAGGTGGCCCAGTTCCATACATGGGCAATCTGCCAACATTTGCTTCTAAAGCTGATGAAACCATGGTCTTGTCTCTTTTAGCTGTCAGGGCCTGTGACCCTCCCTGCTAACTTGGCCTTCTTGCAACAACTTTCTTTGGTGCCACAAATCACAGTGGTTTTCTGCCGCATCCCCCACTGAGTCTAAAGGACCTCTACTCAGCATCCACACCACACAGGAATCAAAAGACACCTCTTTATGACCATGCCACTCTGCCCCTATAATGCTCCTGGGTGCCAGTAAGTCCATGTTGTAAAGCACTTCCCATCTAAAGCCTCAGCCAGGAAAAGGGCAAAAGCCTCTTTGGCCTCAGTATGTCAGTTTACTCCTCCATCCCAAAGTCCCAGGTCAAGTTGATTTTGTGTTCCCTGTCTCTTCTCTCTGCTCCATCTGCCCCCATCCACTGGGACATGATGGCACATATTTTTCCCCTTTGTCCTGTGTCTGTTTTTTTTTTTTGTCCTTTTTCCTTTCATTGTTCGGGGCCTTAATTTCTTAATGGGATTTTAATTTATCTGGTAGACAATTTTAGTAGTGAAATTATCAAATCCAGAACATTTTTACACAGCAGCCATTGTATTTAGGCTATACTGTCTTATGGTACTTAATTTATAATCTCCAATCGATTCAGTTTAATAACTTGGTTGGGCATAATTCAGAATGAATTTTGGTCCAGAGAATGTTGTGTATTTGCAGAAAATACTCTGTACCAACCAATTTCAGATGGTTTTTTAGGTATCTCACTGTTGCTTTCTTCTCCCACTGGAGGACAAATAGTATTGAGGATAAACATGGATAGAAGCTTCAATTTCCCAAAAGGACGTCTTCAATATTCTACTGATCTCCTCCCCTGAAGGAACAGCCATGCCTCTGGTTGATCGTGGGAAAGAAAATGGAATGGTTTCTGAGGAAAGTGGAAAAAAAGAAAGCAGAGACTTTCACCTCTCTGCTCTGCACTTTGTTATGAGGCATCAGTTGCACCACAGTCACTAGTGAGTGGGGTGACTGTGAATAGATCTCGCACTGACATAGTACACTCTCGATTTGCATTTCCTCCTATCATGTAGCTTGTACCTAGCCAGACAGCAATGGAAATAAGTTGTACCTGGTAAATTTTGGTGCTGTGGGCAAGCAGAGGACGCCCCTGTAGGCCTTTAGCTCTGCCATTCTCTAACCCAATTTTTATCTGAGAGGTTTGCCCTGAGATAGTATGCAATCATGCAATTAATAGTAACTCAACATATCAAGCTTGATTTCCAACTCCCAACTTGTCTCTCCCTCAGATTGCCTGTCTCAGTTAATGACACCACAGTTCTCCCAATTGCTTACACCTAAAATCTAGGGCTTATCCTAGAGTTGTCCTCCTCCCTCCCTCTTCACATCTAACTCATCAGTAAATCCTACTTTGCCTCCAGAATATTTCTTAAATCCATTCATTCTCCATCTCCCTGTTATGACCCTCACGCAAAATCCATCATCTCTTTCTTGAATTACTTCAGTAGTGTCCAAACAAATCTTCCTCCCTGTTACTCTGGTTTTCTTCCACTCATCCATCAAAGAACGGCCAGAGTGATCTTTGGAAAATGCAAATTAGATCATGTCATCACCCACCTAATACTCTCCAATAGAGTCCTCCTCATGCTTTCGGAAAACACTAGCTCATTATCATGAAAAGGCTCTGTGTGATCTCGCCTTTCTATGCTCTTGGCTCACTCTGCCCCTCACTCACCATGCTCCAGGTACATGTTCTGTTCCTTGAACACCACAGTGTTATTCTGCCTCAAGACCTTTGAACCTACTAAGCATTCTACCAGAAATATTCCTCCTTTTCAAATATTCAGAAAGTTGTTCCTTACCACCCAAACTACAGGGTCTGGCACAAATAACACCCCTCTTTATTACAAAATCATAAGCATGTAATTCTGTAACATAACAATATCACGTTCAAGCACACCATATGACATTTTAGGTGAAATGTTCAAACTGCTGCCCATCTTGTGCCAGACATTCACATACCGTACCAACCACACTCAAGCAGGCGTTACTTCTGCTCAACCTGTATATTAACTCTCCCCTCTAGTCACCCTCTGACATATCAGCCTACTTTATATTCTTTATTGCATTTAAACATCAAGTTTAACTTATGTGTTGACCTTTTATCGTCTGTTTTAGAACAACCTCATTAGTGCCTGGAAGAACACCTGGTTCAAAGGAGCGCTCAACAAATAACTGTTGAATGAACACAGGGCCTTGTGTCATTCTGCTTGTTTGTTGTGTGTATGGCTCACTCAGAGAATCCATTGTAGGGGAAGGGATGACTGGTAGGGCAGGATTGGGGCAGTCCCAATAATACCACCAAGTGCCTTTAGAAATCATTTTGAATTCTAATGTTATCCCTTTGAAAATGCACTTGTGGATTTAGCAAAACGGGCTGCGACCATAGTAGAGAGCTGGGCAAGGATTCTGGATCCTGCGTGTTAGCCATTCCCAGGTCTGCCTGGGCCTGACCAATACCAGACCCATCTCTCCATAGTGTCCCCACACTCCCCTTTTCCTGGTTGTCAGGCATCCACCCTCTTCTGCCTTCTGTGTGCACACATGTCTTCTTTCCTTAGTTGTGCTTTCCCCTCAGTGTGTCACATCCTCAGCGTGAACGCACCATTATTTCTGACAAATCTCAGAACTCTTTCACTGGATCACTCCAACTTTATTTTGGTTGAGGATTCAGGGCAGGGGTGGGCTGCACACATGGACTCTCCGTTGAACACAGTTGGCGAGACTGAGCTTGGTGGGCAGGGGCAGGTGCATCAGGATATTCCTGCTGTGTAGCCTAGTAGTGCCCGGGGGCCCTTCCATGTACACAGGACAAGAATATACAGCCAGGCCAGCAAGGGCTGGCAGGTCATCGGTGCCCCGGGTCTGGGTGCTGACGCTGACTGGAGGCAGAGGGCTGGGCTGGCTGGAGGGACTGTCCTTCAAAGCCCCTGCTAGCGGGTCCCACTGGGCATTCCAGACCTGTAGCCCAATCAGCAGCAGCCCTGTCTCTGGAACCGTGGGGTTTGGGCTATTCACCACCTGGGGGCGCCAGAAGCCAGTCAGTGAAGGCTAGGAAGCTAAGAGGTCTTGTCAGGTGGGATCAGAGAAGATGGGGTTACTGGAGAGACAAGATCACCAACAGGCAAGGTGGGATAGCTTCGAGGTGTAATCAGGAAGGTGGAGGGGGCAGAATTGGAAATAAAGGGGCTGTGGGAAGATACCTGGAGGTACAGAGGGTTGTTGTTCAGCTCTTGACGTTTATAGGGAAGATGACTGGATCTGGAGCCTTGACAACCAGGCAGATTCGAGCTGGGCACAGAGTGGTCCAGGATGACTGTAGCGAAGGCAGCCTCCCAGCGCAGTGCCAGCAGCAGGCGGCGTGGGTAGCAAAAGGCTGATAGGTGAAAAATGCGCTTTGGTACTTCAGTGCCTGCGCCCAGGTAGCGAACCAACAGCTGCCCACGGCGTGACAGCTGTCGCAGCCAGTACCAGGGCGGCTGCGGCCCTGCTTGTGCGTGGCGTCGCCAAGGCGGGGGTAGGCGGCCAGTCCAGAGAGCGTGAGCCACAGCTGCACAGCGTGGGAAGGCACACGGGGGTGCTCCCTTCAGCTGCTGCAGTAGGCAGTCAAGGTCTTGCTGCAGCACCTTCACCAGCTGGTTCAGTTCCAGCACCTCATTCTGCAAGAAGCCCTCTAGAGGCCGCCCCTCGTTTAGCCTCATCACCATCCACCTGGTGCCAGACTGGTCTTGGCGAGTGTTCTTTGTCAGTAGAGCCTGCAACGATTCCAGTCTCCGTTTGGCTAGAACCAGACGCTGCAGCAGCCGACTTTTGGTGTGCTGAGAGCCTCCCTGAGGCATAGGCACCCAAGTGGGTGAACTCCGTTGCAAGGCACTCAGGAGAGCGCGACTCTGACGTCGCAATAGCCAGGCCTGGGAGCTAGCACTCAGTCCACAGATCCCTGGTTCAGGCCATGTGGACAGCAGGTGCATCTGGGTCTTGCATTCTGCCGTAGCATCCAGCTCCTCTAACTCTGGGAGGTGGAGGTGAAGGGTGAGAGACAAAGTCTCTTCCTAGTACATACCCAAAAGAGTAGGCCTTCCTTTGACACTATAAGCCATCACCCTGTAACTATGTGAATATCGTACCCTCATACCCCTTCGTTTCCAGCGCTGTTCACACTCCTAGAAGGGTAGCACTGCACTGTGCTGTTCCCCACCCCAATACAGATACCCGGCCGATGCTTACCTGGGTTGGGCAACAGAGTGGCCAGAAGATACTGGGGTGTGTGTGGTTGGTCCCAACTCCCCCTGCTGGGACTCAGACAGGAATGTATGAGGCTAATCACGGTCTCCCTGTCCTTGTTGTCTCCCAGAGGACCCCCATAGAACACGAAAGCTGAAGGTAAGATCAGAGCCCCTCAATTCTAGCCCCTGCAGTTTCCACCACTTCCCAGACCAAAGTTATAAATGATGTCCTGGTCTCAGTCCTCCCATACCTACCCCTTTCCAGGCTCTCCTGGGGGCTGATAACTACATGGGGGCAGAAAGGGTCTCACCAGCCAGCTCCTGCATGGCAGCATGGGGATTACTAAGGCTGGCCCACAGCTGGTCTTGAATCTGAAGGACCTGGGTGAAGGTCACTTGACTCCTGGGGGAAGGGAGCAGGTAGTAGGCTTTCAAAGCCATCTATATCCTGAGGACTCACATCTTTCTCTTCAACCCAAACATCTCTTCTGAGCTCCAGACTCA